GACTTCGCCTCCATCCCCGGCCTCGACGAGCGCGGTGACCGTCTTTGGATGGAATCGGCGAAATGGGCCGCCGACGCTCTCAACCAGTCGACGACCAAAGCCAACCCCGGGCGGCGCTCGCCCCAGAAGATGTTTACGGGCGAGCAGGGGCCTTTCCGCGTGCTGCCGTTCTTCCAAGCCCGGCTTCATGCGTGAGGATAGCCGCACCAAGCTCGACGACGAGGCCACCCTCTGCTACTACCTGAACGGCAGCGACAACCACCCGAGCGGCACCGTCAAGGTCCTCAAGGCGTCCACCGACCGCGTCGTCTACACCAACAACGTGTCGTGGGTGACGTCGGCGCCAGCAGGCGAGGGGGGTTCCGCTGGTATCACCGCTGCGCCGACACCCCTTCCGTTCACGCCGCCGGTCGTCTCGATCATTTTTGGCCCAGCACCGACGCCTTCGACCGCCGCACCGCCGCCGTCAGTGCCCACGCCGTCGCCCGCTCCCACTCCCGCTGCCGCAACGCCGCCACCAGCGACCACGCCGCCGCCCGCTCCCACGCCTTCACAGCCAACCTCTGCTACTTCACCGTCACCGTCAGCGACCCTCGCTCCTGGCCAGACGTCCTCTGCCGCTTCGCCGTCACCGTCGGCGACCCCGATCCAGACCAGCCGCCGTCGTCGCCGGACCCCGCGATGCCCCCGCTTACGGCTCACGCCATGCGGCAGCTTCGCCCGGGTACAAAGGCCGAGGGTATGACAGACCCGCGGCTGCCAAGCCGTACGAGATCGGGCACAAGGCACAGCACAGGACTTATCTCGATGCTAGACAAGGACACTCTAGTGTCGATGCTGGAGGCTCGGAGCGCGGTGGATGCAGAGCGCAGGGAGCCGGGGGGAGCGGGGGCCGGAGAGCAGGCGGGAGCACTCGCAGCGGCGGACCCGGGGACTGGAGGAGCGGGCTTCCCACTCGCATTTGCCACGTTCCTCGCCAACCAGGAAGACATCGACGCCACGCTGCGAGACCAGCGCCCGCCGGAGCAACGCCCTGACCTTCCGCATTGCCAGGCCAGCGACCTTCGTGTCCCCAAGAGCTACAAAGAGGCCATGGCGTCGGAGCACCGGCACCTTTGGAGCGACTCTATGCAAAGGGAGTTTTATGGCTTGTTGGAAGCNCTACAAAGAGGCCATGGCGTCAGAGCACCGGCACCTGTGGAGCGACTCTATGCAAAGGGAGTTTTATGGCTTGGTGGAAGCGGGGACTTTTTCTCCGGCGAAGTAGCAGTTAGTGGAGAACGCAATTAACGCTAAGTGGGTATTCGATTGGAAGGCAGATGAATGGATGGCCCACTAAGGTTAAGTCGAGACTTGTAACGAGAGGTGATATGCAGAGAAAGTACATTGACTTTGGAGAGTTGTACGCGCCTACCGTTTCTGTTTCGTGTGTTAGGATGTTGGCTGCTTTGGCGTGCGAGTTGAACCTCGACTTGTGTCATTTCGATATTGAGCAAGCTTTTGTGCGTTCGGAGTTGGAGGAAGACGTGTACATGCGTTTGCCGCAGGGATGTGGAGCTCTATCTGGAATGATTGTAAAACTAGGCGAGAGTCTGTATGGCTTGAGACAGGCATCTAGGCAGTGGCATGCAATGCTGAAGAGGTGTTTGGTGGCGTTAGGTTTTGAGCAGTGCATGGCCGATGCTTGTGTGTTTCGTTTGATTGAGAATAATGTGTTGTTTTGATTTTGGTGGTACATGTAGATGAAATTTTTGCTGTGGGAGAGAGGGGGAGATGTGACAAGTTGGCGCCGACCTTAACAAGTCCGTGCTTGTGAAGAACCTGGGGGAGTTGAGATGGTATTCTGGGTGCTTTCACGAGAGGAACAAGGAAAACGGTAGGTTGACGATTTATCAGCAGAGTTTCACAGATGAGCTAGCAACAGAGTATGGAGTACTGGGAGGAAAGAGCGTTCCGATGTCTTCGGGATTGAAGCTTTCTGATTTTGATGCGGATGACGTGGCGACAGACTTTGCGTTTCGTGAACTAGTCGGATCTTTGATGCGGCTGGCGACTCAGACTAGGCCAGATATTGCCAATGCAGTAAGGGCAGTAGCTAGGTATTGCGCATCTCCGAAGCGGGTACACTGGAATGCAGCGATGGATATTTTAGGGTGTGCGAGGAGGACGAGTCACTTCGGTATTTCGTTTCAGAGAGGTACGGTAAAGGGTTTCAGTTTGCAGGGGTACGCTGATGCGGACTTTGCAAGCAAGGCAGCACACCGTAGGTCGGTATCAGGGGGGATCGTCACGTGTGGAGGAGGCGCCGTGTCTTGGTTTTCGCAGAAGTGTGTTACGGTTTCGACGACTGAAGCAGAGTACGTCGCGCTTGGTGACGTAGTGAAGGAGATCTTGTTTTTGAGGCAGGGTTGGCGTTTCATGTTGCCGCAGGTCGGCATACCGTACATCCCAGTCTTCGAGCACAACCAGGGGGCGATTCAACTAGCGCAGAACCCCATTTCAAACTCGAACACGACGCACATAGATGTCAGGCACCATTTTCTCAGGGAACTGGTAGAGAGGAAGGAAACTTCGGTGATCCACGTGCCGTCGTCATCCCAGCGTGCAGATTTTCTTACGAAGAGCTTGCCGAAGGACACTTTCGAGTTTCACCGTGATTTTATGATGAATTTGGCATGAACATTTACTGTTTTTCTGATGGGTTGTGTATTGGTTTTGCTTTCATTTTCCGCGCCAAGTATTCATTACGCGCGATGCAGCATTCATTCATGTTTGCTCATTACCCCGCAATACCCAGTACAAGTATTTTGCATATGTCGACAATGCTGATAGATATGGGTAGGGGGGGGAGGGGGAATTCAGGTGTTCTTGTTATATGGTACCCGCATGTGCTGTGCTAGTTTGTGTTGTGTGCGAAATAATGCGTGGGGTACGCTTTTGATCATCAAGAGAGAGGTAGACCGACCGGGAGGAACAACGGACGAGGTCAAACTGCAGGTCCTTGTTCTGTCCACGATAGGATTTCAAATCTCGAAGTAGTTGTGATTGCGGCTGACTGTGAACCCTGGGAGAGAGTTTCTAGAGAAGTCTGCCTTAAGGTTGGTGGAAGGGTTTGGTGAAGGACTGGCCTTTGTCCAGGATATATGTAAAAGCAGGCACTTCATGGCAGCAATGTTCGAGGGGGCATACTTGTTGCGATTCGGGAAAACAAGTTAGGTTCTAAATTAGAACCTGTCGCAACCTGCTCAACATAGCGCGTACATTGCCAAAAACAAAAATGAATTTGAGCCAGCCGTTGCAGAGCAACTCGCCGTCCACGCCAGACACCTGGCCAATCCCGCACCCACCATGATCAAGCGTAGTAGGAGGGTACCGATAGGCGGCACCAGTGGCGGTCCGCCTAAAGCGATCAAGGGGGCCAACGCTGCGGCCGCGAGAATTGCAAAGCGAGAAATGCAAAGGCTATGAACAAGCTCCTGGATGATATGGAGAAGAGAGAGGCAGCCACCGCTGCTGCCGAAGCAGCTCTCGCGGCCAAGGAAGAAGAGGTGAAGGCCATGAAGGCGTCAGTGGCCAGGGATCGGAAGAAGCTCGCGCGGGACATCGGGAGGTCGGACGTGCTTCAACAGCAGCGTGAACGGCGGGAGCAGGATCGTGTCAGCAAGGCTACTGAAGCGGCGACTTCCAAGCGCTGAAATTTGTCCTGGACTCCGTGCAATCGCTGAGGCCCAAGACTGGCGAGCTCACCACCCTGTAGCAGACGCGGATGATTCTCATGCTGTACTTCGACACAGTGAAAGGAGGCAGCTCGGAGGACCACGCAAAGGAGCAGGTGAGAACCAAGAAACATGGCGTGCGTACAAACCAGTATGTATTCTAGACGCATGTCGTTGTCACCTTTTTTCAGCAGTACAGCAGTGCCACCACATGGTTGGTACAATTGTATGTAGATGCATACATCCCACCCAAGATTTTTGTACAACAGCAGTGCTTGATACAGCCTTAGGCTGTCTCTTATAACGTTCGGAAATCCAGTTGAAAAATGCGTAATTTCCCAACCCCCAAAAAACAACATGCTGCCTGCAAAAACGTTTCTTATAACGAATCGGTTTTTTTTTTGGAGTTGGTGCCTCTTTGCGGCGGCGTTTGTATTTTCAAACGCGTGCACTGCTGTTGTGCCGCACGGGCGCGGGAATTTGAACATACGTGGGCGGAACAAACGTAGCTCTCAGACTCCCAGCACGCCGGTGTACAGACCTCCCACGCCATGCCGGCTACGGAATCTCTGCTGCTAGACAAGAACCCCCTGTTGACGGCGGCTTTGGAGTTGTTTAGTTCCGGAATCGGCGATGGATTGACGATGAAGGAAGTTGTCAGGCAGCTGCAGACGGTCGCTCTCTGCTATACCGCGATGGGAGTCAAGAGGAACGCAGGAGAGATAGACAGCAAGAAGAGAGAGGCGCTGCTACTCAAGGCATACAAGGACGACGTCGTGCCTGGCTTTCTGAAATGGTTGTCGGAGGAGGGTGATTGTACAACCCCGCCCTGGCTGACGATGGAGATGATGGGCCGGGTTGCTGTACATACATGTAGGCACCAATGGCACAGGAACGCCGGTGCGGAAGAGCAAGGGGAAAGAGAAACAGCAGCAACCGAAAGGTAAGCATCAAGGTACCAAGGGCGCAGGTTTCAACTGCAGAGTGCTAATCGTAGAGAACTTTACCCTGAGTGTAACGCGCGACATTCGCGAGATCATACCGTCGTTAGCTGTACGACCTTCATCTGCCGCCATTTAACTGTAGGTTTACGTCACGAACGCCCCACCATCTGTTGCCACTTTGTTACAAGGAACCAACACCGTGAACCCAACAGCCGTCCATGCCGCTGATGTACTCTTGCAGTCTACTGTGTGCTGAGTGAACTGTCCTGTTAGGGTAGATTGAGCCCGAGGTTGCTCGTTCGCATCGGCGATTGTTCGTACATCCTCCGCGTGGTGCAAGGTAAAAGTACAAGGGTCCAGCAGTGTAGTCTATGTTGATCATTCAGCTGGGCAACGATTTGCTGAGTTGCCCGAGGTACAACATGTGACACTCAGCCATACGAGCAGTAGGATTCCTGTCTCAGCATTGCTGTTCGCACCGTTGCCCCACGCATTTGCCAGATGAAGAACCAAAGCTGTACAAGGACGGGAAGAAGATCTGGGCAAGGTACCTGGATGCCTTCCGCGACATCAGGAAGGACGCCAACCCCGTGTACGACAAGTAAGTTGCTCGGGTCTGTTTTGAACAATATTTGTGTGTGCACATACTATCGGTAGTTGAAGGTGTGTGTTTCATTATTTTCACCGCGATTGTGTGTAGATATGTACACTGCTACTCTTCCGCCGGCGTGAACACAGCAGAGCTCAGGCGCGCGGCAGACTATCTGCGTCGAACGATCCAGTTTTGTTGTATGCACATGACGTGGGGAAAAATAAGCGGGTGGTACCGCTGACAAACGCGGAAGCGACGGTGGTGGTATGCTACAGAAGAAGTGATGCGCTGACGCAAGTGACTGACCAGGAGTTGTTTTTTTTCTCGCACTCGTGTGCCTCACCGTTGGGCACTTTGATTCTCCCGCATACCCCTGAGCGAAAACTCCAACATACGCGTGCGCTGGGTTTTCGATGTGCCTGATATGTAAGCGCGACAAGGCGGCGATAGATACGCTGGTGGACGGGGTAGCAGGAGGAGGGCGGATGATCAAGGCGACAATCTGTGAACATCCGTAGTTTAGAGTAGCCTGTCGGGAAATTGTTGTGTTTTTCAAAGAGCTCCCACCCGTGGCGTAAAACAGAAACAACTCATCTCGACATAGATTTGGTTCGCCCCCCGCATGATCACTCCGTCCCCAACAGTACCTCGGGCCTGCGCTTTGCCCCGCACTTTTGCTGTTCTACGACGATCTGAACCATATAGCTGCGGCTCAATTGACGACTGATTTCGTTCGGTCTCTTCGTGTCTGGTCATGGGAAGAACCCTCCAAACATGCTTGAAGTTTCTCCTTCTCCCCGAATAATGTAGCTCAAGGGCAACAAAAATGGCTCAGGATTGTTTGACTCAAGGGATCATGTCTTCAGCTGTGCCCATGCTGTCGTAGATGCTACCCCTTCTGCCCCACACGTATCGTACAACAACTGCCCTTTTGTGCCGTCAGATCGACTCCATCCTTTTTGATGAACCCCCTCCCAAGGCCAACTCGAAGCAGAGTATTAAATGTATCAATGGCGTGCTGCCTTGGCGTGGATGCGCGGATCTCTATCTTACAGATGGTGGGGTAAGAAGTTGGCGACCATGATCATTCTTTTTATGTCCGGTGTCGTGTTCTGAAGTTCGTCCATGGGTTCCCGTCGGTTCGCTGATTTTCTTTCTTCGCCCAGAACCATCGGGGACCAACCGGGCGGGACCCCTCCATCTGGAGAGCAGTATGCCGACCAGCTTGACGAGTTACTGCAGGCGTTGTGGGAATACCAATGCAGAGAAAAAAATAAAACCGTGGAAGTGACCGCGGAGGAGAAGGAATTCTTGCGCGCACGTGGCCCCTCGGCGGCGAAGGGCAAGGGTACGGGAAGCGGTTCCTCGGCCGTCGACGTAGACCTCTCTTCCACGGACGGGGAGGTCGTACAAGGTACGGAGAAGGAGGGAGGGGGTGCGGACGCGGGGAAGGATGAGGAGGTGGCGGCGGGGGCGGGGAGGGCGGCGGGTTCTGAGGGAATCGACGGTTCTGGCGACGGTGGCGCGGGACGGGAAGGGCAGCCCATGGAACAGGAGCAGCCGAAAACCCCAGGAGAAGAAGACGACGGCGGCTCTGAACCGGAGTCAGTCGTCCAATATCCCGAGAGGCCTCCCAATTGGATGCCCTACTATTTTCTCACCTTTTGCTTCTTTGGTAGGCCCAGCAACAGCGAGGACACGGACCTTGCAATGAAAGCTGGATCTGGCCCCTCTGGAGATTCTCGTCCGCGGAAGAAAAAGAAAGCTTCTTTGGGCTCGTCCAGCGACGGGGGGAGTGGGAGCGAGGGGGGTGCATCGGACCCCGCCGCGAACTTGGGCAGGGCCGGCGTTAAGCAGTTCGTCGGTGCCGGGGAGGCGCAGAGTCGGGCCCAGGTTAAAAAGGCAATGGCAAAGGACGCAGCCCAACAGTCGGCGGAGACCATACGAAGGGAGGGACTGGAGTTGGCAAAGCAGCAGGCCGAGATATCGAGGTCGGTGGCTAAAGCAGTGGCGCAGGTGGCTGCCGATGTGCAAAGAGGCAGGGAGCTGAGCGAACAGGAGGCTGGCCGCAAGCGCAAGCTGGAAGAAGAGGAAGCATGCCGGAAGCGCAAGGCTCAAGCGAAGGACGATCTGAAAGGCGAACTGGACCGTCTCGATCCAGACGACGAGGACAACACCGCACGGCGCGCGCAAATCAAGCGGGATCTTGCTAAGCTGTACAGAACCCCTGTCAGCAAATTTACTGCTGATGCTGCCACCTCCAACCCAACGAGCACGCCGGCCGTGGCGCCGGCCAATGCGTCAGGCTTGCCGGCGACGTCGTCGGGTGTGGCATCTCCGGTTGCGGTGACAGCGGTATCGGAGACGCCGGCAGCGGCAGCGGCGGCAATGACGACGGCTTCTCCCGCTCTGTCCGGCTTTCCTGGTGCTCCCGCTCTGCCCGGCTTTCCTGGTGCTAGTGGTGGAGTTGTCGGGGCAGTACCGAGTGCAGGTTCGGGGGACGGTGGTGGCGGGGGTGGATATTCGCCTGGTTGGATCAACATCACTAGCATATAGACCTTTTCACCCATGATGCGTGGAACCAGGTGAACGTTCGCATTATTTATTTTTTTGCGAAGAAGTTGGATGCGGCCGCAGTTGTTTGTCCTTTTCTTGCAGCGTTTTTTTTTTACTCTCGGGGGCCTGCAGCAAGCAAGTGTCGTGAGTGCTGTAGCTCTTTCTCTACTTTCATTTTTTTGTTGTGCTGTGTGCTTAGCGGAAGGTGTTGTTCTGTACGGGCAGCACCTCACCGCCACACACCCTTCGTCACAGCAACGCTCGACCTCTCTTTGTGTTTTTTTTTTGCGAGCGGCCAACGTATGGTGGGGAGCAGGTAGCACCAGCTGAAAGTGGGGGGCGGTAGGGGTGGGCATAGATTCAACCCGTGGATTCAACCCGTGGGTAATTATGGGTGGCAGCAGCAGCCGCCCTTGATTCTGTTACTTGTTTTTCCTGAGTCTGTCTGCAACCAAGAGTGGTGAGTGCTGCAAGCTGCCCTTTTTTTGTAGGGGGAGGTTTGAGCGTTTCGAGGAGGGGTGTTACGGAGTTCCGGATGCATGCGACTCCCCTCCCCCTCCCGATATCCTCACTCCACCATTCTTTTTTTTTTTTGCCGATGATCGATACTTACTTCCAGGGGTTGAGTGTTGCCCAGAAGCGGAGTCTGCACATCTCTTCCAGGAGCTGCACAAATGAATCCGGACAACATCGTTTTTGTTTTTTTTCGATCCCAACGGAAACGCTGGGCCAATTACAGCAGCTATGACACGTCACAACAACGTCTACACTAGCTGGTGTGTCTTGCCCGCGAATGGCGGGGGGGGAGACGTGGTGCTGATGGAGGCAGGGACCGATCACCGATGGGCAATTGTGCCATCCTACTTGGTCTACACTTTTTCCCCTATCCTATCTATCGTATCGGTGTCGCCCATCGCAAACACCGGGGGAGGGGAGTTCACAAACACGCGTGGTACTTCTGGAAGGACCAACGAACCGACAACGGGCTATCATGTACGCGAGTCCTCGACGGGTGATTTACTACCTCCTATTCCCTACCCCCTCTCCGAGCGGCCGACCCGAAACACCCCATCGTACAAATTGGGTCCAAGGAAATAAAGGAACAAACTATCAAATCCACCAAAGCAACTTAGCGCGAGCGAGAAAGTGCAGAACAAGAGACAGCTTGGTTTCTTTTGTTTCACACACCCACCCTCTACAGTAGGTCTAACCTCTCCCTAAAGACGACACAAAAATATGTTCCCCATGACCTCAGCATGGCGGCCGCGTGTTGTGTGACTGTGAGTGCGACATCTTGTTGCAGCATTGTCAGACTAACAACTACGGAACATCTAAGAGAGCCACGCGATGTCGTTCTTGCTCTTGCGGTAGACGAAGCTCGCGATCAACTGCTTCCTCCGTGTGTTGAACCCAGACTCGACCTCGACGTCCTCCGTCGAGGCCGACGAGCCCTTCGCTCCAACCGAGCTCAAGTCCAGCGATGGGTTGTGCTCCCATGCGTTGTGGAGCCCGGCGTTCCCTGCCCAGTTGGGCTCCTCCTCCATCTCGCTCTTGTTGTCGTAGCTGTGAAGCATGTTGTGCAGGATACAGCACGTGAAAAAGACGTTGTCAATGTCTTCCTGCTTGTGGTACGGGATGCTCAGCTTCAGGATCCGAAAACGACCCTTAACGATGCCGAAGAAGCACTCCACGTCCTTCCGCACGCTCTCCAGCCGCTTGGAGAAGGCCAGGTCGTTCTGGTCAATCGGGTACTTGGAGGGAGGGATCAAGGTGACCCACTAACATGAGTGGGGCGAGAGAGGCGGGGAGAGCGCAAAACATACGGGGTTGAGAAAGCGGTGTGAGTGAGGGCGTCAACCGGCAGGGTCTAGTAATGCAGAGGTTACAAAGGTGACGTTGTGACGCCGCAGTTTGCGAAAGGAGGAAACCTTGCCACGAACATTCATATATTCGGCATTTTTTCATCGAACCAGAATCGTTTTCTGCCCCGCGTGTGGCTCCGCTGCACGTGCACGACCTGCCTTTCAGCTTCGGCGTTCTCCCCACATGACCGCTTTCCAGCACAGACAAGGCTCGACTTCCAGCACATTGAAACTTTGGGGGTGGGGGGTGGGGGGGGGTCGTTTGTCTCATATATACCACTGTACTGCTAGGGGTGATCAACACTCTGAGGCGCAATGGGAGAGCGAGAGAGAGAAAGAGAGTGAGAGGGAGCATGCGTGGACCCCTACACCCCCCCAGCGCCCCGAGCCCCGTGGATCAACCATGTACCCAATCCGGGATAACGGTTCCTATCTGCGACAACACACGAACACCCTTATCATTATTTTTCTGGCAGGTGACAAACCACGGTGGGCACGTACACCCGGACATATTTTACAGCAGCAACTGAAAAGACGACCAAACAAAACCTACGCGCCTCCGTCTACGTTTTTCTCTCTCTATTGTACCCGTCTATTTCTCTTGTCTTGTAGTTGCATGCTGAACGATGCCATGAGTTCTCACCTTGTGGTATCCGTTGTCCACGAGCAGGTAGCACCCCTTGAGCTGGTAAGGTGTCCCATCCGCCTCGTACACGGTGAACTCCTTTTCGGAGTAGATGGGGTCCTCCCGAATCTTGGTGACTGCCGTGTCGTACCGGATGATGCTCTTGTCGTTAGTCGATCCCGTGAACCCCGGCGTTACTGCAAGTACCCGTTTCGTGTGGTCTACGGTAACTTGATACGCGACAGTCGGGTACCCTTCCTTGCCCGTATAAGACCGGGCTTGGTTGTAAGGGCACATACCCCACGGGATGTGGGTAACATCCGTAGAACCGGTGGCGCCAGAAAATCCCAGGCGATCGTACTGGGTCATGACCTTCTTTTGGTAATCTCCGGTCGGTAGAAAGATGTGCTCCGCGTACATCTCCCTCGCGAAGTACCGGGTGAAGCGGTGAAACGTTGCTGCCGCCGTCTGCATGCTAATGAAAGACATGTGGTAGATGTCTGCGAAGCAGTTCCCCCTCGCTAGTATCTGGAGACAGGCCAGCACCTGTAGGAAAACAGGCGCCCAACGTAGGTTTCGGGGCAAGCAGTTGGAGTATTTTGTTTCAACGCTACAGGATCTACTGCCTTGCCATGTAAAAACCTCTTCGCGCGACAGGCTTTCTTTCCAACCTGCAATATTGTTGTACATACACGAGGGGTTGTGGCTCAGCTTTTAAACTGCTTGGCACGCGGACAAAAACAGCCGCAGCACATGACGTTCCTGGCAGCCATATGCACGAGTGACGGCAGTAGTAGCCTACACTACAGCAGTGCTAACATCATTGTTCGTACAGGCTGCTGTATAATTTTCGTGCTTTGCAAAATTACGGGACGCAGAGCGCGGGGCAACAACAACACAACGACATCACGAACTACAGCCAAAACCTTCACGGGGCTAAGTCAATAGGAGTGTAGCACGTGGTAGATGAGGCGGTCGTTGCTGTGTCGATGTCGGGAGTCATGACATCTGTTTGCTTGTCCGAACGAGAAGATTTGCGCGTGGATGCTGTAGCTTGCTGCCGAGTGCAGGGCGTAGTCGCCTGCTGCTACCTTGGCCCAAAGGGGTGTGGTATCTTGTGTCGCCTACGGTAGCTTGTGCGCACAGCAGCACTAAATGTTCACCTTTAATTGCACGGGGATACCCCGACGTCCGGACGCATCTTGCTTCCCAGTCGGGAACCAATCCCTCTGCTTCACCAGGGCCACCAGCTCCACGAAGAAAGGGTAAGGGAGACGAAAGCTCTCGCGGAAGCGGCGAGCAGGCCTGCTCGTGGGGTCGACAATTCCATCCACCTCGAGATCCTTGAGCTCCTGCAGCTGAATCGCCCAGCCAGAGATATTGTAATCCTTACGAGGGTATACGCGTCGCCTCTTGATCTCACGGTTGTCCTCCTCCTCTTCTTCGGAGTCGGGATCGAGCTCATCTAGATCGTCGAGTACAAGATCCCATGCCACGAGCGTGCGCTGCTGCTGTTGATTGAAAGCCGCCAACGCGACGCTGAACGCAGCAGGCACGTTGACGGCACCCGTTTCTGACGATGACATGGTGCCCACACGGACCCAGGCTACCACCAACAACAGGCCCAGTAGCAGCATGCGAGGGAGTTTGCGCGGTGCACGCGAGACACAGGACAGCAGCTGTGTACTCGCTGCTGTGCTGCTGTGGATGGTGAACGCGGTCTAGTTGCTGCGCTGTTGTTGTGCATATGTGCGGTGCCCCCGGTGTGCATTTCCAAACGCAAAAAACCGATCGCGTCCACGTTCGGAAATGCTCATCATTTCCAAACGCATGGCCGGTTGGAAACGTGAAATCGAAAATGTTCAGGCGGAAAAGTGTCATTTCCGATCTTATAAGAAACAGTTTTTGGTCCGAATTTGGAAATCCACATTTTTGAACTGCATTTCCGAACGTTATAAGAAACCGCCTTACGCAACATATTGTGCATCATGCCAGTACTGCTGCCGGCCCATAGTCACATTGCTTGCACTGCTGTGCTGATGCCCATTACTGCTGTACAATACTTGAGTGGCATATATAACGGTATGCTGCCAGATGTACTGCAGTGTACCAGCACAGCAGTTACAGCAGCGCGTTGTACCGCTGAATGCAAAGGAATGTATGCATGTGCATGGCACCACCATTCTCCTCGCGTGCGCTGTACGGTTATCCACACTCTGCCGTCCCTGTAATACCGGCTGTTGTACACCAACGCAATACACTGCAACGCAATACACTCTATATTCTTACAAACTTTTTCCCACCCTCCCTCTGTGTGGATGCCCCATCTTCATCAGGTCGCGAAGACCTTGAGGATCGGTACGGACAAGGTCCTGGCGGAACGCACACTCTGGTATGACAAGCAGGAGTTGTACGAGACCAACGGGAAGGGNTGCAGTGTACCAGCACAGCAGTTACAGCAGCGCGTTGTACCGCTGAATGCAAAGGAATGTATGCATGTGCATGGCACCACCATTCTCCTCGCGTGCGCTGTACGGTTATCCACACTCTGCCGTCCCTGTAATACCGGCTGTTGTACACCAACGCAATACACTGCAACGCAATACACTCTATATTCTTACAAACTTTTTCCCACCCTCCCTCTGTGTGGATGCCCCATCTTCATCAGGTCGCGAAGACCTTGAGGATCGGTACGGACAAGGTCCTGGCGGAACGCACACTCTGGTATGACAAGCAGGAGTTGTACGAGACCAACGGGAAGGGGCGAGGCAAGGCCACCAGCGTCGACGACGGGCGACGCGTCATCACCAAGGAGCAAGAGGATGGACTGAACGAGTTCATCAAGGGCGAGCACGAGGCGGGACGTCAGGTCTTCCGCCGTACCATTTAGGATTAGTTGGAATGTTCGTAATGATTAGAGATGTCGAGTCGTGCCGTGGGAGGGTTGCTGCAGCGCCTTGGCTTCAAGCGCCGTAGGGGTAGGATCAAAATACCTCCGTTGAACGAGGAAAGGAAAAACCGCATCCGCCTCTTTCTTTTGTTAAGATGGACCTCGCGAAGAGGGCCGAGGACGCTGGGGTCGCAGTCATTGTGTACATGGTGAGAGCTTTGATCACCAGGCGCATGGTTCCGCGTACTCGTACTTTTCTTCTGACGACCAGGGGGCTGTGCAGGATGGAATAGGCCGTACAACGGGGAAAGGTTTGCGTATGATACATGGTGCATGCGATCACGAAGCACGGGCCCTTGGCCGAGCTACAGGAGGGATTTCCTATCCGTGAGGGTTGGTTCAAGGCTAATGAAAATCGTGCGAAGAAGATTAAGCCTGGGGAGGCGGATTTCGAAATGTCAGATGAGCAGACAACGTAGTTTCTGTGGCAGGCCAAGTTGGCAACTGGAGGTTATCATAACGCCATGACGGATGGGATGTTCATGCAGTGGTTAAAGCACCGACTTACCCCGGCCTTCGATGCGCAGTTCAAGAACAAGATGTTTCTCTTTCTCGATAACACCTCATACCACCACTGCTTTGACGAGGAGCTCAAGGTGCCCGAAACCAACAGTAAGAAGTTCAACGTCGAACTCTTGCGTAAGTACGGTTGCACGTCGTTCAAGGTGACGCGTGAGTCGGAGGGTAAGGCTGCTGAGTACAACTTTGAGGTGCCGGCGCAGGGGTCGTTACCCAATGCGAACCGCAAGAACGGCGTCAGCAAAGAAGAGATAGCCTCCGTCACTCGGACGTACTCCAAAAATAATTTCCCACAGTAGCTCGAGGAAAAGGCTGAGACGTACATGAGGGAGTAGGGGCGGGGGTTAATTTGGACACCGCCGTGCATGCCGACTTTCCAGCCGATCGAGCTGTTCTGGCAGCACGGCAAGCATTACGTGAGCATTCATTTTGAGAAGCGGCGGAACATGTTGGATGTATGGAAGCAAATCCGTCTCGGTTGGTATGGAGACCCGGAATGGAACGGTCAGGAGGGAGGGTGGAAGGCAGCCAATTGTGGAAAGTTGGTGGAGCATGCCATTGGCAAGATGAACGAGTGGATCGGCCTGTATGGTGGAAACCTGAGCGGTACGATCGGTAGCCTCGAGTATCCAGTGGCAGAGTACCAAGAGGCTATGACCGAGGATGAGATAGAGCATGGGGTGGAGGAGAAGACGGATGAGTGGCTGGGTGAGGACGTGGAAGATGCCATTGAGGGCTGAAAAAAAAATGCAAAAAAAAAAAGCCCTTTATTTGGCCAATATTTTACGACTTTGATTCACGAACAGCTACACGAAGGGGGCTGCACAGAAGGTGCCATTCTAAGTGCAAGCTGACATTATGTTTGATATTTCACAATTAAGATGGATGTATCACCCTGTTCAAACAATACATGGATCACCGGTGCAAGCCATGGAGCCGCATCGTTTGAACACCGCGCTTCAATATTTTAGGAACATCGTCGGGTACGATCACACACTAATTTCGTAATATTACTCGAAGACATGATGCATTTTTTTGTTTTTAGTGTAGAATGACAGCTCTGTGCTTTGTCGTCAATTTGCGCTATAATTTGTGATAGGGGACTCCGTATTGACGAAGTTACACTATATTCCAATTTGGTCTTGACTACTATGTTCCACCGTAATAGAAAAGTGCATCTTCTGGGTTCCGCATTCATTTTGTCCCGGATACTTTCCCAGCGTGCGGAGAGCGCGTTCTGGCGTGCTCCTTTTCATTCGGGTGTGACGTGCGCACTACATGTATGTTAACGAAAGAAACAGATCAACGAGATGATTGGCGGCATTCTTGAAAGCATGGAGTCCCTCGCCACAAAAAAAGTGCATGCGCATGGATGGATGGGCGTAGTGAGAAGTTCCGGTCGAAGACTGACGCTTTCTTCGGTTTCGCGTGAGGTCGCCTCTAATATTCTTTCGCTTTTTTTGCTTTTTTGTCCAGTGTATGGTTACTACCTCGCATAGCGTATTGAGGCGAACGGAGGATCCTAGACTAATCTGTCGTTGACTTGCGGACCCTTCTTCGGGTCCATTTCATTTTCGTATAACGTTTTTGGGTAAGTTAGCCTGGGACCACGGCGGGAATCGACCGCGACTGTCAGACTATCATACATAATGGTACGGATAGACGAAGGAGGTACTGGGTAGAGAGAACAGAACGAACCGTTTTGTAATTTATTGTGAAGACAGCAACAACGGAACTGCTGGGTTCGTCCACGGAGTTTTGCTGCACTTATTATGTATTAGTGTATGAAACGAATTATTCATGGGTGGGTAATGAATCCCGTCGCCCCGGTGGTCTTCTAGTGGTATCCTCGTAATCCGCTAGTTGCAGAGATCGTGAGTTCGAATCCCGATGGGGTGAAAAATTTGCGAAATTTGCGGGTGAAAGCGAAATATAGCTAAAAAGCTCTCGTGAGGACCAAACTTTGACGTTGGCACCTTTGACGAGGGAAAGGGACGGCTGGACCCTTCTCGCGATAAAAATAAAATTCAGCACGCACCGCAGGAGGAAGGTGGGGCATGAAAAGAAATGAAAAGAAGAAAAAAGCCCTGGTGTTTACCCCCTCCTGTGTGACCCTGGATGGTTGTATTTGTACGAAAAAACACACTGAAAAGTGTGAACTCTACATACGCTGAAAAGTGTAGTACACGTCTCACCACGAAAAATGGGGGGACTGTCGCCATAACAAAGAGGACGAAAACACACACAAACACACACACACAGAGGGTTCAATTCAATTACTGTATACAACTAACTGGAGTAATGAGGGTGCTCCTTATTCTTATGCATGTTCCTGCCGTAGGTGACACAACATATCGCATCATCAATATTCACAGCTAATAATGATAGTTCACGACGACGAAGATGTCAAACGGTAGTGTTGTTTCGGAAAGCTATCGGTTCCATCGCCGCCCGGCCACGCTTTCTGCTGTGGAGTAATCGAGCTTTGAAAATAAAAATTGTTCAGGGGGTGTGATATCTCATGTCATCTACTCTGTGTACAGAACTCTTTGTCGTGATCGGTGGGCGAGCGCGTCGCGGTGTGCGCCCTCGACTTTATTCACTGCTAAAAACTGGAAAGCTTCAGACAGGCAACGCGACGATGATACTCGTCGAGTTGCTATCACAATGGGCATAGACACACGAATCATTTCTTCTGCTGTTTGTTGTTGCCGCGTCAACTCGTTCGTTTTTCGCGGTGTAACACATGCTGCTGGAGATGTTTGTCTAGAAACGCAGGCTGGCCATGCACCACCATGATGTCACTGCTACACCGCACGCACCCTGGACCATGATCCGTTGATGGGAGATGAGTTTATTCGGTGTGTTATCGCTAAGAAAAGCAAAAAAAAGGACGTGGCACAAGAGATAGACCCAGCACAATACACCAGCGGCGATGGGTGAAAGGCGATGTTGACCCGTGCGCAGATCGGCAGGCACGAGGCACAGCCTTGTCGCAGGCGAACTGCCACAGCTTAGCCCCCAACCGCGCAGCACACACACTTACAAAACGGATCGCAGCGGCCCTTGTTGTACGCATGCGCCACCAACCAGACAAAAAAAAAAAAAACAGAACGACAATCGTTCGCCACAAGACTGCCAGTCACCCCTTCCGCCATCATCACTCCGAACCCACGCTAGACTGCTGCAGCAGCGCTAGTACATCGCCGTGGAGCGGCTGGGGCTTGATCGCGCCGTCCCCGCAGCACGTCAGGGCGCCCACAGCCGAAGCAAACCGAACCATGTCTCTCGCTCTCCCCCCAATACCCTCCAAACCCGCTGGCGACAAGCCGGCTTCTTCCGAAGACAAGAGCTTGATCGCTTCGGAGATGAAGCCGGCCGAGAAGGCGTCCCCGGCTCCCGTGGTTTCCACCACCTTCAGGCCTTCGAATACGGGGATGAACCCCGTCTGTCCCCCCATGGCGTACGCCGCTCCCTTTTCCCCTGCCGTGACGAGGATTGCCTGCCGGGCGGCGTGTTTGGAGCGAGTTGCAAAATATTTATTGAAATTCCGAAGACAACGATGGCAAACGTGGGGAGCGGTGGCGGAGAGAGCACTGACCTTTTAACGACCCTCTGTCGTTTGACCATTGACCACGTAACCGCTTTGAAATAGAGACCACCTTTCGAACTAACTCCACCTCCTGGGTTATGATAACCCGTCCTGAAAACTCGCCCATAGCTATTACAATACTAAACCCATAACCTTTTTATATGCTGAAATCCACATTATGTACTTCATATCGAACACATAAAAAAAAAACAAAAAGTCGCAACCCAACCTTAGCCGCCGGAAAGAACCTCTGCAGACAAGGCGGGTCTCGAAGCGCCACCTCGCCGGGAATCCCGCACAGCCACTCCGCCTCCTCGTCCGTGAGCTTCACCACGTCCGCGGTGAGGGAAAAGTCCATGATGCGCTCCCTCGCCAGCGACTCGTAGTCATCACCCTGCGGAATCGATGGGCAGCGAGGGCGGGGGGGGGGGGGGGGGGGGGGGGGGTGTACTCATAGTCGTGCATGCCGTAGTCGTTAGACCATTGACCTCGCATCCCTACAAAGCCGGGACGGAGCACGCCGGGTTCTCACCGGACCAGGCTCTCACATCACCAAGCGCGAAGCGCCGTGAGATATTCGGCGAGTCGCATGAAGGGTGCGCTGCATCCTGCTAAGGGTTTTCGGCATTTCTGATGCTTTCACTTCCAGAGACAGTTTTAAGCACTGTGTAACTGCCTCGAGGGTGCTTGGCCATTTTAACACAACGTGGTGCGATCATCCCCCTTGCGCGGAGTGAGGGTTCTCCACCCCGCACAACATGATCTACTCGACCACCATTATGGTT